AAAATCATAGTATTATGTTCGAAAACACAGTTGTATTGTTTGTGAGCAAGAAATGTGTTTTTAAAATGTAGAAAGCTTTGTTCTCTAAAATCCCATTTCAATTTTAAAAAAAGATAGATCATTTCAGAAACTCTGAGAAGAAAACAGAAATTCATTCCACAAAATATGGCATTTTTTCTGAGTGCAGGCAGCACGTTTCCTGCCTCCCTTCAGTCCACGAGGACAACACTTCAAACGCAAAACTTGTGCCATGTAACAGCTGTGTGTGTGTGTGTATGTATGTGTGGCTAGAATAGCTTTTGGCTTGCTTTTTCGACGCCGATTTGGTTTTTATGTCTCTGCGTTTGCGTTTCGTTAACTTGTCTATTTTTCTTTTATTTCTCTCTTCGCTTCGCTTATATATTTTTTTTACACCTTTTGCCTTGCGCTTCGTTTGCTTCATTTGCTTAATTATGTGAGTCATCGGGATAAGCATCATCATCATCATCATCATCATCATCATCATCATCAACATCAACATCGTCATTCGTCGCGTCATCAGCAGCAGCGGCAAAATCGTCATTATCGTCAGCGCCCTTTGGAACAAGTTGGTCTTACCTGAAGAGCCGTCACCTTGTGGTTGCTTGCCACAGGATAAATGTTGTTGACCCATGTGGTCTGACATTGATTTTGGCAACGGGGCGTCGGCAGTGGTGAATTACACATTACACATACCTTCAACATGCGTTGCCCACATGAATATGTTCCACTTCTTAATACGCTCCACTTGACCCTAAATCGCTACCTGACTTGCTATATGCATACATATGTATACACATATTTATACATGTATCAATAACTATGCCAGGCTCAGGCTTTGTCTGAGAGCGATAGCGATATTAGCCTAAAACACAAGAAGTCGGGTCGGGACGGGGGCAGAGGTAGAGGTGAAGGTGAAGGTGGAGGTAGAGGTGGGGTTTGTCGCGGCTTCATATGCGCCTTTGTCAACGTTGAACTGAGAAAAATGCATAATCATTGAAGCGTAAACGCTTTGTAACTGGATATGGGTATGTATCTATATATATATATATATATATGTATTCTATATATATCTATATATATTTTTAGGGTAAGGGCCAAATTGACTAACACACAAGGATGGCGGCATGCCACGAGGACAGTTGGGGCGCCTGGCCACACTTACAGAGGAAAAAAAACATAACCAAAGCTGCACAAAGCAAGTGACAGCAGGCAAACAAAAAAAAAAAATTAAATAAAATAAAAAAAAAGGGAGAAGAGAAGAGAAGAGAAGATAGCGAAATAAAAAGGGAACCAAATGGCGCAACGAATCTGAAGGAAACCAAACGAAACTAAACGAATCGAAACGAGTCGAGCTGCGTTGAGTTGAGTTGAGGATTCCAAATGCGGCTGAAGGACACAGCAAACAAAGCCAAAGGCAGCGGCAGAAGCAGCAGCAAACGAGAAAGGACAAGAAAGGAAAACGCAAAAGGATTTCTGCTGTGGCACGGGAAATTGAAAGGAAGTGGGGTCACTGCACAGTCCATTTGTGTGCTTCTCTCTGACTGCCTCTCTGTCTGCCTCTCTGTCTGTCTGTGTGTGTCTGTGTGTGTGTGGGCTGTGACACCACAACTAATGAATGTGCACGAACAACAACAACAATAACAACAGCAAGCACGATCTGGATGCGAATGTGGACGGGGACGAGGACGAGGACGAGAACGAGGATGAGAACAATCGTCATTGAGGCAGCAACAGCGACAAAAGCTGACCAAGTTGTTTGGCATTGCCAAGCCTGACAAATGCCAAAGGACAAAGGATGCGTGGGTGTGTGTGCAAGGACGAGGAGGAGAAGGCAGCGGTCGATTTCCGATGCCATTGCATACATCGTATAAGTTGGGGCAGGATCAATGTTGTAGGGGGCAGGGGTCAGTGCATTTGCACTTCGAGCGACTAAATGCGTGCAACCAGCTATGATGAGCGACAGAGAGTGACTGAGTAAGAGAGAGGGAGATAACAATAACCTAGCTACATCAAACAGAATCCGCACACAACTCATTCACTTCGAGTGCATCAATGGAATGCATTTGATTTGTGTGCCACTCGTTAAAGGTTGCCTCTGGCAATCTTGGTGCAAGTTGCCACTTAATTTAATCTATACTGATCAGCATAAATAGCCGAGTTGATTCTACCTTGACGTAACATTGATCATGAGCTTGGGTGCAGGGTATCTATTAGTTGACTACTGTACTATATTGGCTGAGACGTAGTGATTAAGTTGTTAAGTCAATTGTAAATTAATGCCGAAAATCGGCTCCAGCTCAGCAGATTGTCGAGTTTTAGTAATGGGCTTAAAGTTGCTGGCCCAGCGCGTTATCAACTCTACTTAACCACGATAGCGGACTTGGTTTAAGTTTACTGTTAAGATGGCTTAAGAGCTAGCTAAAGTTGAGCGACCAGCGAGTTGACAACTTGCTGCCCGCCATTTGCCAGTTGCCAGTTGCCAGTTGCCTGTTTGCAGTTGTTGGCCCGACAGTCAAATGGCCTGCTACGCGCAGTTACCAACCTTTAACCCCCTACCCACTGCCCCACAACACCCGTCCGTTATGCCCCTAAGTGTAAGGGCTTAACTGTGTGACTAGACTTTGTATGGGTTGTGCAAGGAACGGTATCCAGGCTGATATCAGCTAACAATCCAGGCGACGGTTGTGGTTGGGTTGCCGGGTTGTTATGCTGTTGGGTTCTTGCGTGTTGCGTATTGCACATTGCTGCGTAAATGTGAGGCATATGGCGCATGAGTCAGACACGCGTGTGACAACGAAAGCAACAACAACAAAAAAGTTGAAAAACCCTGAATCCAAAGCAGAGCGCAATGCATTTGGTAACACAAAAAAAAATAAAAATAGAAACATACGTAAGCAACCACTGACAGCAGCAACAAAAAGAAAAACATTGAAAAAAGATATAAATAAGAATGCGCTAGTCAAGAGAGCTCGACTAGAAGATAAACCAATACCGACCTCAATTAAATTTGTACAGTGGATCACTAATATATCCAATATCAATTGTAAGACTATATATTAACAATTGTGTCTGTTGTTGCTATGGATAAGTATCGATATTTATCGATATTTCGGAAACGAAACGCGAAACGTTATCGATCAAATAAAATAGCTTATATTCAAAATCTGAATTTGGACAAACGAACATGGCTAGATGAACTTGTCTGTCGATAGCGATCACGGGTATATATATACACAAATATTATATATATATATATATATATATATATATATATATATATAGCTGACTGTTACATACAGACTTTCGCACAACTTCATGTTACACTTTTATCCATTTTTAATGGGTTCATCGTATACAAAAAGAAACTTAAATAAAAACCATGACGAGCGATGCGTTGGCTCTGATAACGTGCACGGCAATGTTGACGGCTTGCTGACGCTGTAAGGCCTACAGTAAGTAAGGTTTAGGGTTGAGGGTACGGATAAGGGTGGAGATGGAGATGGATGTGTATGTGGAGGTGGAAGTGGAAGTGGAACAGGAACTGCCACTGCCATTGCAAGTGGTTGCTGGCTATGACTGTGACTGTGACTGTGACAGCCATAGGCCTGTGCCCTGGGTCACTCATAAATTGCTGGCAGCAACGACGACTCACATGAATAGCGGTATTAAAGTATCTGGCAACACACACACACACACTCATACAACGGAGTACCAATGAAAGGAAGGATAAAAACAAAAACAAATTGCAGTCTGCATACAAAGCAACGAGCTAGGAAAAATAGGAAAACAAAGCTGTACAAAAAGCACCTGAACGTGTAGTTCCAGCCGGAAGAATCGAAAGCAAGGAGCTGGCCAACTTATAAATCAGCTTAGTGTAACACACACACAGAACCCCCCCTTCACTCGCCCTGCTCCCCTGCCCCAAGCACACCCCGCCGCTAACAATCACCAAGCCGCCCGTTATAAAACCCTTGAGTGTGTGTATATGAATTTGATAAGGTTTTTGTTTTTGTTTTTCTCTTGCCTTAAATTGCTAGCTGGCAACAACAATATATATACACATATTTATATATATACAATGTGTGTGTGTGTGTGTGGCTATCCAATCTAAACTGCTCGAGCTGAGTAAATTGCTTTGAGTTACTTAAGTGCAGTAAAATTGCTAAGGCAAATACAGACAAGAGCAGGGACCCCTAAGTAAGGACTACGGCAAATTGTACATATAAAGAGTAAATAGTCTTTCAGTGTTTGCATATTGAATACTATTTGTATTCGTCCTACGCACTTAACAAAATCTAAATTGATGAAAACTGACTGCTTGCCGCTGATCTCACTTTACAATCTAGAAAATATTTGTGAGATATACAAAATATGTAAGGAGTGCTGAAGTAGTGCTGAAGTTGTGCTAGGGCCATGTAAAAAACTTCCATTCGCATTTAATTCAACGGAATATTTATTTCGACAGATCGGAGGGCCTAATAACACTATCATTAGTTAATGGTTTGTCCAGCTCTTTTCATGACCTGTGGTGGAGGGTGGTGCGGGGCGGGGGGTGTCTATGTGGGAGGGAGGGTGGATGTATTCACAACACCTGCTGGCCACTGGGTGCTACTTTCATATGCAAATTGCTTGGGTGCGTGTTGTGTAAGTGTTGCCAGCTCAACTAACGATTCGGCGAGGGGTCGTTGGGCTACCAAAACAAAAACTCAAAAAAGACGAAAAGAAATAAAGAAAATGGAAAAAACTGTTCAATTAAGCCAATATTTGCGCACACTCGCATCACACACATTGTGTGTGTGTGTAAGTGTGTGTGTAAGTGTGTGTGTGTGTGTGTGCTTGTAAAGACAAGCGACGAGAGCTGAGTCTCTTTTGCGCTGGCACATTTTTGCGGCCCGCTTTGAGCAGCTAAAATGGTGTGTGTGTGTGTTTGTGTGTGGTTGTGTGTGTGTGGTTGGATTTTTTGGTATTGTATGACTCACCTGGACAGTGCCAAAAAGGACGACGGCGGCCCAAAGGCTCTGCAGCAACAAATAACGACGCAGCGAGACGCACATTTTGAGAACTTTTTGGCTTTCGTTTGCCTTTTTAGCTCTCGTTTAGTTTCGAACGGTTCTTAATTTGTTGTTTGTTGTTTGGTGTTTATCTTTTTCTTTATGAGCTTTTGGCTTTTCTTTTTCTTTTTGTTGTTGTTGTTGTTGTTGTGACTCGTTTACACTTGAACTGTGTCTATGTTTCGGTTTGTTTGTTTAAGCACTTTGCTTTTGCCTCTTGGCTGCAACTGCAACTGCAACAACAGCAATAATAAAAGCTAATTACTTCAAAAGGAATATAAATATAAAATTACAGCCAACGAGCTGAATTGCTGGCGTGCTTTTGTTGTTTTTGTTGATTTTGTTGCTTTCGCTGCTGCTGCTGCCCCAAAGGTTGATTCCTTGTGCTGCCCCCAAAAACTATATAACTAATGTATGTGTGTGTTTGTGTGTGTGTGTGTGTGTGTGTGTGTGCGTCGTAGTATTTCATTGTAGAACGTAGTAGAAGCTGCTTATGAGCAGGCGAGAAAATAAGAGTGTGAGCGGGAGAGAATGAGAGAGAGATAGGTAGAGCGAGCGGCAGCTGAAGCAAGCGCGAGCGAGATAGCTTTGGGCAGTTGAAGGTACAACACAGCACACACACACACACACACACGAGCACAGAGATAGAGAGAGAGAGAGAGCGCGAGAGCAAACATACGCCAGAGCGTATGCTACGGTTATTCCAAGACTCTCGGACTCTCCCACTACTCCCTGGTAGCAGGCACTCGCTACTCGCTGTTTGTTGTCTGTATTCACTCGCTACTATTGGCTCGGTCTAAATATATAAATCGGTGTTTGCTTGGCTGTGTACGTGTGTGTGTGTGTGTGCCCTGCTTAAAACCCGTTACATTTATTAGTCCAATCAACTCAAGTAAAGCGACTTGCGACTGCGACTGTAACTGTAGCTGCTGCTGTAGCAGTAGCTGCTGCTGTAACTGTAATTGTAACTGTAACTGTAGCTGTAACTGTAATTGTAACTGTATCTGTAACTGTATCTGTGTGTATTTGTATTTGTATTTACATAAATACACAAGTGTCAGAGTCATCGGAATTCGGCTTCACTCGGCTGAGCAGCGAATCGACGACAAGCGATTTTCATTCGAAAGGCTTCTGGGCAGACACGATGTGTTCGTGGAATCCTAAAGAAAACAGCTGAAGTCAGTTCAGTTCAGTTCAGCTCCGTTTAGTTCAGTTACAGTGTCCACACCCACACCCCCTCACACACACACACAAGCACGCACACACAGACTCGCTCTCTAACATTCTTGTTTCATTTGGAACAACTGCGCACGCACAATCACGCACACACACATACAAATCACATACATACGCACAGACTACATTCTCTCTCCTCGCCTTATTGCATTGCGCAAAAGACACCAACACACCAACACACACACACACACACACACACACACTAGAAATAAAGATGATGTACTTTAATTGAGGCAGCACAAAAATTGGAATTTCGTTTGTATTTTCACAACAAAAGGGAATTTGTTAAGTTTTTTTATTCTGTTTTGTGGATATATTTCCACTTGGTTTTCTTTCACTGTTTTTCTGTGTTTTTCTTTCATTGATTTTGGCACGCACTCGAAAAAAAAACATAACCAAATACAACAACAATTTTAATGCCGACACAAGAACTGGAAAAAAAAAGTTTTGCAATTTCTTCACGCTCTCTCAATCGCTCGCTCTCTGTCCATCTCTCTCACTCTCTCACACTCTCTGTCTGTCTCTCTCGGTGTCTATGTGTGGAAAGCAGGTTGACAACCTTGTGCTGTTCAGTCACACCTATGGTTCAAATGCGCCAGGAAACTTGAAGAGTACCTTGCGCTGCGAACGCTCACAAACGACTGCAAGTGGCGTTGACGGCACGAGTGACTCGTTGTCTCGAGCGGACTTGGTTCACGGAGTCGGACTCGAGCACGGCTCCGGACTCGGACTCGGTGCTCTGCAGTCGAAATCTGAACTCAAGCTTAACTGCGACTGCGCGTGCCCCAGGATCGATATTAAGCGCGAAACGGTGGTTGCAACTTGCAACTGGGGGTTGGTATTTACACTCATGCATGTCCTACTGTGTGTGTGTGTGTGTGTGAGAGTGAGCATGAGTGGGTATGCTTAAAAAGCTTCGCTTTGCCAGCGACAGCAGCTGCTAAACTGAGCTTTCAGGGCTGAGGACTGAAAGCTCGACTTTTCATGGAACTTGAGGTTAAAGCCGCAGATTCAGTTCATTTTTAGAGATTGCTGTTCATCTAATGATACGAAATGTTCGAATAAACAAGAAAGTCCTATTTGCTAGGCTAGTTGCTGTCTAATTATTATTAAGTTAAATAGTATGGACTTTTTAAAGTCGACTCAAATTTTACAATGATATTTATTTTCAGCATCTAAAAAAAAAAAAAAAAAATGGTTTTTAAAATAGATTTTAATAATATTTATTATTGGGAAAAGTCTCTAAAAGTTTGTTCAAAGATGTCATTCATTCATTTTCTAAAATGATAAAGGGATCTCTATCGAAATGAAATAAGTTATTTCAACCACAAGAAAAAATATTTTATTTTTTGCAAAGACGGCATTATTAAATTCAAATTCCTTTTTCATCAGTGTAGTTGCTTTGGTTTCAGAAACTTTTTATAGTTCTATGTTTTTCGACAGATATCCATATATATATATATAATTGAAAGAGTTATTTTGTCGTGTTTCACTAACGTCGATAGCGTTTATAGCAATTTGTCGTCAATAGCTTACTACAGTAAATAAATATTTTTTAATAAGAATTGCAGCCCTACTAATCGATAAACCATTTCGAACTCAGATTCGAGTATGTCGTTGAATATTAAGAATATAGAGGTGAATTTTGGTACAGAGAATACAACACGAAAATGATTTAAAATACATAATGCAAAGATCAACCTTCAATTATGATTATACATAGCATGCAAGCGGAAAAGTCTACTTTTAAAACACTATCCCACATTATATATTTTAGCAAAGTGGATTACATAATAAATATAAGATGCTTAACATAATTGTTAGGCGCAACAAATATTGCGTGTGTGTTGAGCAAAGAAAAGCTCTACACTATAATCTTATGAAAGCACAAAAGCTTATTTGTGTACATGTGAAAGTTCAAGCCACTGCTGTACAATATGCATTTGACTTGGCCAGCAAAACACCTTCGATGAATTATTGTCTTTCTCAAAATAATGTTTTTCTCTTTTCTTCTGACTTCATTTTATGTAATATATAACTTGAACTCATTAATGGCAATAATTGTTTAAAAAATATGCAAGACCGAGTATCTAGCAGTCGAAAACTGACCACATTTTCTTTACGTTACATTGCTTATTTAAAATACATGTGCTTTGCTAAGTTTTTAGTAATTTTGCACGGATTCAGGCAACGTGTGTGTTTTTTGAGAAGTTTTCCTGTTTCTGGTGTGTGTCTTCACTTGAGCTTTTTCATGACGATAGTTACTTAGACGTATGTGTGTACTTACTAAGTGTACTTACTAAGTAACTATTGCAAGTCAATAGCCAATGCAAGAACCAAAAGCTAATTTACTGCAGGTCTTTCAATTAATAAGCCAAGCTTTATGAATACATTGAGTTGTGCCTCATCAGTTGATCATAAGCGATAATTATAATGATTTATATATAAATATTCATGTATTAGAATGGGCCTACCTGTAGCGCAAAACGTGCATCACAAAAAATGTGTGTAAACTTGCTTATGCTATTTTTCATATATGTAGATAATTTAAAATGATTCTTCTTCTAATTACAAAAATCAACTTTTCCAACTTTCGTCATGGGAAACGACTATCAAAAACATATCAAGCTTAAAAAACAACAAAAAACACCAATTATAAGCACTTCATTTGACACTCTGTGTACCTGTTACGAATGCGGCAGTAATCAATTATAAAAAAACTCGCTGAAAAGAATCGCAATCGAGATACCCCCGGTTTTGCCCCCTGAACCCTACAGTAATTAGATGTATGCACATACATACCTATGCACAAATACACACACACACACACACATACACACATGTAATTGCCCATTGAGAACAACGCAAATGAAGCTTATCAGCTTTAAGTCATCAATAGCTGTCTGAGCAGCCGCAGCAGATGATGATGCTGAGATTACCGCAGCTGAGATCAATTTCCAGCTCAAGCACCGGCGCACAGTCTCAAAATGAGATCGACATCGATTGCACTGCTCCTGGTGGTGGGCTTGTGGTTCAGTTCTAGCACGGTGCTGGGCAAGCGTTATATGCGCTGTGAGCTTGCCCGCAAGCTGCTCGAACAGCACAGCTTTGAGCGCAGCCTGCTCTCCAATTGTGAGTACACAGAGAGAGAGAGACAGAGAGATAGAGAGAGAGAGAGAGAGAGAGAGAGAGAGAGAGAGAGAGAGAGAGAGATAGGGGGTCTTAAATATATAGTCTTTGTCTCCACCTCACCAGGGATATGCTTGCTGGAGCATGAGAGCGAGTTGGATACCGCGAAGATGACAACGAATCCCAATGGATCTCACAACTATGGATTATTTCAGATCAACACACGCTTTTGCCAGGAGAACAGACGAGGCGGTGTCTGTAACATCAAATGTGCAGGTTTTTACCATCAACTTGGCAACTTTTTTACTCTCAACACTTTCCTTCTTAACTGGCTGTCCAATTCTTGTCCAATTCCAGAGCTGCTCGATGTAAATCTGCGAGAGGCGGCTTCCTGCGCCAAGTACATACAAGCCACCGAAGGCTTTCGTCACTGGAATGGTTGGCAACGCTACTGTCGCAACCCTCAAAACCTACCAAATCTTAAGGTCATATGCGGCATATAGCGAATCTTCCATAATAATATATAAATAGATAGATTTATAAATATGAATATATAAATAAATAATACACACATTGGACACTCACCATAGGGTTTATAGTCATACATCGATCTAAGTTTAAGCACATATATATGCACAGAATAAATATTTTTCAACTTGGATTAACAACTTCAAGTTTCTGGTATACATAATCTGTGGGAATAAGGACAGACGGACAGAATCTCATCGACTGTTGCTATTGATCAAGAATATATAAATCATTATTAACAGGGTATACCTATTAGCTATCATATAAAATATTGATTGAAAATGTAAAATGATCTGACCTGATACCCTTGATATGCTGCCAGAGCTTTTTGGACAACAAATGCCAAACTTTGCGAGCACACCTCGCCTCGCCTCTCATCGCTTGTCGCGCTATCGCTTTGGCTCGCATGCTTTTTGGCTCTCGCATTCTCTTGTTGTGGAGCTCTCTGACGCCGCCAGCTGGCTTATGGGGGCTTTTGGGTCTCAGTCCGCTACAGAGGGATTTCATTAAGTGACGCCAGCTGAAGCGAGGCAAATGTTTGGTTTGTGGAGCGCTGTTCACCCGCTGCGCTCAAGCAGCGTGCAGCGTTTAGTTCAATTCTGATTGTATATTTTTTAATCGATGTGATGAAATTGAAATGGAAATGGAAATGAAGAAAAAAGTAGTGCTCTGTGCATAATTTGCATAATCTATGTAGTAATATACATAAATCATATGTATAAATACTCACAAGTAGTCTCTAATTGAATAGAGGCAAGATCAACTGTGTTTTTGTGCCTGAATCCAGCCCCTGACCCCCTGCTTACCCTGTGATACCTCGATCCCTTGTGACTCCCAGAACCGGTTACCCAAATCATCCAATTCCAATCATCTAAATGCTTAAGTGTATATGTACAATATATAAGTATAACCTGATTTGTGAGCAGCCTTCAGTCAGTTCAGTCACTGAGCAACCGTGTGTCGAAGTCGATGTTCCTACAATTGAGTGTACTCTTAAAAAGTTTTTCAAGTCCCCCAAAAACGTATATATATATGCATACATAGTATGATCAACAAGTTATTCTATATGGCAAATGTGATACTTATGAAGTTGTAAGAAATCTAAGAAATCTGAAAACAAATAGTATATTTCCTGGTGCCTAGTAAATATGAAATATAATACAAACACATAAGAACCCCTTCGGAAAACTACTTTTAAAGAGTGAATTGGGACAAAGCATAAGTGCTAAACATGAACTGTTCAAAAAGACACAAATTCTGAGAATGTCTTTAAAAAAAGTTATATTTTTTTTTATGATTTTGTTGTTGTTTTTTTTACAAGTTTAAAGAAACTGTTTTTGGAAACTGATTTGATTATCGTATGTGGAAGATCGTATGAAGATCGTATGTGGATCTTTCAAAGAGATTCGATATTAAGTGTTATAGTGAATTTGTATGAAATATATACATAACCTCACTTCAAATAATTTTGTTTTAAACTATGCTTATGCTTACCCAAACTTCAATCACAAATAAAGTAAAGTCTTTGAGTGCATATTATATATGTATGTAAACACAGATCGACTAATACATGAATAGCCCACTAAATTGGGCTGTGGAGTATTATGTTGATCGGCGGATTATACCAGATGTCAAATGCCAGATCAGCTAATGCATGAATAGTCCAACATATTGGACTGTGGAGCATTACGTTGATCTGGAGTCATGTATGATATGAGAAGAGCCAAAGCCCCTGAAATACCATCTGATATTTCAAACTCCTCTTAGAGGTGTCCTCTTGAGAGCTGTTCTTAGATTGATTTATTGACTTACATATGTAATCGGGTGATATCGGGCATATTACAGTTGTGAAATACACCAGTTTCTAGAAAGTTACCAAAACAATTTCATCACAAAGAAAATCTATTTTCGATCGGTGATTCACAATTATGCGAGCTGGTGGCTCCATTCGAGGCCATATGCCTCCAGGCATATCTATTTCACCATATTGCGAAACGGCAATAACAAAATAACAAGCCAACCAACATATGTACAAAGTGTTGTACATAGTGTATACATATGTACAGTTATATATACATATGTACATGAAGATATGGCCATGTGTTTTTCATATACTATGTAAATGGGAGCAGGCTATTTTTATCGGCTTTGGCTCTCACGATTTGGCTGCGACGCATTAACTTGTTTCTCTGCTGCTCGTATGTCAGTCAGGCGTGCACCTCACCTCACTCTCTTTATCTTTTGCTCCCTCTCTTTCGCTCCCTCTCTTGCGCTGTCTCGCTCCGTCGCGTCGCGTCGCTGCCGGCGTTAAACGATTACAAACGTTGCGCGGCGAGTATAAAAGTTGCCGGCCGGTTAGCGTCCATCATCAGTTAGAATCTTGAAGCTTGAAGCTTTCTGAGCTAGCGAAAGAGACAGCAAACATATATAGAAACAAAACAGAATACAAACAAATTGTTATTGTTATTGTTATATTGTTTTGGTTATTGGTTATTATTCGAACAAAGAAGGCATAAATTATTGTTGGAAGCAGCATGGCTGAGGTAGCGAAAACAGGTGGCGAGTCCTTGTCGGATACGCCGATTGAGATCCTGAATATTGAGTACGAGGAGGCGATGGAGCAAGCGGAAACCCCCCAAGCCCCGATGCCCAAGAGTGGCAAGCTCATCAAGAAGGCCATGAAGAAGGCGCACAAGGCGCAACATATGCTTCAGGTGGCCATGGATCAGCTGATCGCTGAGCAGGCCAAGGGCAAGCGGCTGGAGGCCAAGGAGGCCAAGCAGGCCAAGAAGCTCAAGCAGCAGCAAAAGAAGAAGGACAAGAAGGCCAAAAAGTTGGCCAAGAAGCTGGCGAAGGAGCAATCGCAATCGCAACCGGATCCGGAGCAGGATTCGAACGAGAACCAGAACGAGAACGAGAAGATGCGCTCGCGTTCAAGCAGCGTCAGCTCTACTTCGAGTTCGTCGAGCTCCTCCTCGTCCAGCTCCTCCTCCTCCTCGTCGAGCTCGTCGAGCAGCGACAACTCCGATTTTGGCCACTGCCATGCCTGGGGTCGCAAATGGAAGGGACGACATGGTCATCCCCATTGCCGCAGGGATCGCTCCAGGTCCGTTTCTGGCGATGGCCACAGCCGCCGTCACGGACATCATGGACATGGACACGGACACGGACATGGTCACGGACATGGTTATGGTCATGGTCATGGTCACGGACATGGTGATGGTCATGGACATGGTCATGGACATGGTCATGGTCATGGTCATGGACATGGACATGGGCACAGGCACGGCCCAGGTCCCCATCACTTTGGACCGCATCACTTTGGCCCCAATCGCTTTGGCCCCCATCGCTTTGGACCCCATCATTTTGGTGGCCATAATTTTGGAGGTGGATGCCCTTGGTCTATGTGGGATCAGGAGCAGTTTTTTCGGAGCGGCGGCCTGCCGTGGGCCCTGGAAACGAGCACGGCATGTCAGAGAAACGGATCGAGATCTAGGTCGCGTTCGCTTTCGCACGGCAGAGGTTGTGGACATCACGGCAGAGGAGATAAACGAGCCGAATGCGGACACGGATACGGACATGGACATGGCCACAAGGGTCGTCACTATGAGTGTCAACTAAATCGTTCCAGTTCCAGTTCAAGATCGGACAGCGAGGAAAACGAGGATCGTCATCATGGTCCGCATCATGGTCCTCACCATGGGCCTCATCATGGTCCGCATCATGGTCGTCACCATGGTCCGCATCATGGTCCTCATCATGGTCCGCATCATGGTCGTCACCATGGTCCGCATCATGGTCCTCATGATGATCCTCACCATGGTCCGCATCATGGTCCTCATGATGGTCCGCATCATGGTCCTCATCATGGTCCGCATCATGGCTCTCGGCATGGGTCGTCTGCTGGTCCATCCGATTTTCAGGATCACTGCAGCCGTTCACGTTCGCGATCCCAGTGCAAAGCTGGCAACTTTGTTGAGCACTCGAAATCTGGACACCCAAAGCAAGGCAAACACTGCGTGGACGAGGGAATGGCACGAGATAACCACAAGAAGCATTCACACAGATTCAAAGAAGATTCACATCACGGAGCTACTGGATTCTACCGGGTTTTCGAACCCGCTCCCTGGTCTTAAAAGCTTGAACCGCACTGCCTGCGATAATTGTTTTTTTTTTTTTGCAATTTGGAGGCGCCACCGACAATCAATTTAAATGCTGCCCCTTTTGCTTTTTTTTTTTTAAATAATACGCATATATCAAAATATTATCTTCAATATAAGAGGCAAACATAATCAAAATATAAAAAGCCTTTAAAAAATATATTTGTTTATCAAAAATACCCCATCTATATATATGTATCGATATACTTGTTGTAAGTGTGTAAAACTATATTCAAATAAAAGTTGCATAAAAAGTGAGATTCTCTTTTTAATTCGGGAATTATTATGGGTAATCTGAAATTCAAATTTCAGCACACAATTTTTGTGATACATGTTTTAATCTACCTCAAGAATTTTATTTTGTTTTTATTTTGAGCAACTGTAGCACAAAAACTAGTCATCCAATTTAAAAAATATTTGTATCTACAAAGAAATTTCCATGAGATGCATTTATTTGTTTTCGGCTTGCAATTTCAGTTGATTTTCATAAATAACTGAAATTAAATAACAAGCATTTTTTTATTAACTTAATTACATCATTTCATAGTCAATTAAATATTTTTTTTTTGAATGTTCATCCATATATTTTTTGTCAACGTGTTTTTATTTATGTCTCGATTTTTTTTTTATTAAATTTATTCATAGTTTAAAACAATATAATACACTGCGAAGAGAGAAAATTAAATTATCGCATACATCGGGAATGTGATGGACCCTCACTATGCTATAGTTAATTGCAGTAAAGTTATATGAATTGATTTAAATTGTGGAGTATTTACTCAGCTAAAATTCGAACTTACATCGAGCTACAAATGCCAGATAAAAGATAACTTGAGTCGCTTATCAGTGATGCATGAATAATATAAGGTTTTTCCGGAATGTTTAGCAAATAATAGAAAAACATAACATTGATAAGGCAGCTGATAAATGGAATGCATTATCTGACTATATATAATCGATAGCTTTGTGCTGGTTAGATGCGATTTGGAGCAGGTTTAGGCAAGAAGAGAGGAAAAGGAACTGAGAACACTTTCGGCTTGAGCACAATAGTCAGGTTTAGCTGTTCCCCTGCGAGGAGAATTTGTGTTCTCAAAGGCTGTGTTGACGACACGATTAGTCACCTATAGACATTTAAAAGTACCCTCAAAAATAAACGATATGTATAAAGAAAAAACATAGCCAAATTAAAAACTCGATTTTATTCAAATTTAATAAAGGAAATTAAGTTGAATTCACTTCAATGCATATACCACAGCTAGCAAGCTGAAAAGCATGTTTCGTTCATTAGAAGAGCCACAACAAAATCGAGTAGAGCATTTCACTTGCAACGCACAATTTCTCCAGCTAAGAGAGCGCTTAAGGGAGCCAATACTGGGTACAGTGTGTTGTGCATGGGAACAGTTCTACCCCTGAGCAAACTGAATGGGAACAGCTGATGCGTTGCCCTGTGTTGCATTCAAGTTGAGCCGCCGGATTAATACTGATTGACTGAGATTTGCCATTGTTTGTGTGGGTGTGTGTGTGTGTATTTGTGTGTGCATCAGTTACGAGATTAGCCCAAGAATTGAACTGGCAGCGACAGGTCAGCGGTTTATAGCTAGAATAAGTAAGAAGTTGCTCGCACTTTATTTAATTTCTATTCTATTCTTGACAGTCAGTCAACAGGTGTCTACACACACTTGCACATATATATATACACATATATATATGGATACATGCTATATATATGCACTGTTAATTCCAAATTGAAACTTTAGTTAACTTTCGTTGAGATTGTGACAAAAGCAGGTAATTTTGTTGCCCTTTTGTGTTTGTGGCATGCTGCTCAGTTGCGCTTTTGTACTATGTATTTGGGCGTCTCCATTGTCAGGGGCAGACATCAAGTGTACTCCGCTCTGTACACAAACCTGGCAATCTCTGATTTATTTCAAGCGCAATATTTTCAATTTACTTAAAACAAAAAAGTGAAATGAACAAAAGGAAAAAATAATGCAAAAGAAAAATAAAAGAAAAGAACAAAAAAAAAAAGGCCGAGAGCAGCAAGTGGCAGGACATAAAATGTGCAGGAAGTAGATTTTTGAGCGGAAATAATTTTGCCACATGTTGGCAAATAAACACACAGCCAAGTGCGTGGCAAGCGGCAAGCCGCTGCTGCCAAGGACGTGCCTCAAGCAGACGAACAGTCAGTCGGTAAGTTGCAGGGAGCTATTGTGGAGACGCCGACGGGCCATAGAAGATGATTTGGTGTTTCAGTCAACGGGCGGTGGCTCAAATCCATCCGCCTTTATCGTCAACAGCTTAAAACTCAATATAAGTGCACAATTCCGTTCTCGCCCCATTTGTGTTTGCTACACACACACACACACACTTTCATGTATGTACATTTGTTTTTTTTTCCCCCGTTTTAATCATTTTTGTGGCAGCCAAACAGAGAGTTTGCCGCACCACACCGCGTTTGGAGCGGGCATGTAATATTGTGGCAGGCAGCGCTAATGCAAAAGCTTCATCTGCCTGCCCCCCAAAGGCAAAGTGCCTATCTCTGTTGCTCGACCAAGCAAAAACAGAACCCATCCCGCATTATTGATGAGCCTGAGCTGGCAATAGTTGATCCAAACATATCAGAACGTTTTACATTCCAACCCCCTCCCCCCAATTACCCACAAGTACTTACTCATTACAGCAAATTAAATTTAAATTTGCTCAAAGCATTTTTTGCTGCAGCCAAAAAGTATGCAACAATATTTGGCTGCTGTTGAAAACAATTTGCGATGGTTGTCGGCATAACGAATTTTATTATTATTCAGTTATGTGATTATCGTCATGCAATGCAGAATAGAAACAGCAACAGCAACAGGAACACGCCAACGCCGACGGCAATAGCATGCAGCAGCAGCAGCAGCATGCCTCGAAGCGTGGCAACTTCGCCCCAGTGCCACACAAATATTACACAATAGTTATGGCTGTTGGGTCTTAGTGGGCAATGCTACGTGTGTTAAATGCCAAGGCAAGACCTGTAACAAACAATGTCTGAATAAGCCCGGCCAACTAGCCACTGGACCATTGAGCGCAGTTCCTGCGGCACATTTAGTATGCAACACTCGTCCAGCAACATTAACAGTGTCAGCCAGCAAAAGCAAACAGAAAACCAACCAATACACAAACGGACTTCATTGTTGCAGCTGCAGAATGCAAAATTGACTGGACTGGAGCAGGTGGCAGTGCCTGGCAGTGTTGGGCGGATTAGGAGATGGCTAAGTGGGAACGTTCATCGCGTGAGTGTGGGCGTGGTCATTGGTGCTATTGTTGGGCATTGGCCACAATGGTTATGACAAATGACTGCAACAGGGTTTCCCCTGACGAGGCAAGCCTGTGTGGTTTATTATTGAAAACCATCACAAACTGAAAACAATGAAATGCATGCGACGTTTTCTTGAATTAATATCGTGATCTGAAAGCATTTCTAATACAAAGTAAACAAACATATAATGTATACACTTTATTATTTTATTTTTATTGTATATTTTAAATATTAAATTTAAATATTATATTATATATCTTAAATACATACTTTTAAGCTCCAAATATCTCAAATCTCCTCTAGACACGATTCAATAATATCGGTGTATGTAAAACATAAAAATATAAAAATTAAATATATAAATATATTTTATTTATTTACTTAATACTTCAAATAAATTTTCGGGAGGACTGATCTGTCCTATTTACTGATTTAGCCCCATCGTTGTGAAGCTCATATAAAGCTTTGATGCACTCGATGGATCAATTGATGTGTGGAACATCCTTTGCCATCCTCTAGCATTTCCACCAGTTTAATAATTTCCTTGCCCAGGTCGCTTAGCGCTGTGCTACGCTGTTTCGTCTGGCTTGCAACTTTCTCATTAGAATCCTGCGACGGTGGAGAATCCTTGCACTCTTTGGGAACGCTTCGCAACTCTTGCTTGTTTGTGTTTGAATATTACTCATTTTCTTGGATCCAAGTTTCAAGTCGTTATTTCTGTTCGTTGTACAGTTACGTAATAATCCCCATTGTTATCTTTGCATGATGCGAGGCCATGCGATGGTTGACACCCAGGTGTGCAGAGCCGGATTCGCTTTAATCAGGAACCGTACATCTTAACCCGTAATGCCAACTTAATGAAAACGTACCAGAAAGCCAGCTTGGATATTTGCTAAGTTTTCACAGAACGGTGGCGGTAGAAGCATTATCCTTACAATCATTTTGGCAAGATATCATTGCGCTTACTGAGATGCTAGAACACTGCTACCATCAGACCAAGTTTCAACAGATCCGCATAGAATTCCAGTATTCTAGTATTTCAAGTCATAACTGGACTCTGTCCTAGTCGCCGAGGAATACCTGGCAGAGTTGCTTACACTACTCGGGACAAGAATTGACTTGGTCTTTGCCATCATCTTAATGACGATCAAGATCTTTACACCTACCAGAAATACTTATCGAAGTAGTGTCATAGCCGTGTCATATTAGTTGCCTTATCCGACAAGCTATGACTCGCTGTGGTGATAATCTGTGTACTCTCTCTGTGTGTGTGTGTGTGTGTGTGTGTGTGCTTGTCATAGCCAAATATTTAGTTAAATATGCATATGTGTGCGTGGTGCTTCTGTGTGTGTACTTTCTGACATGCAGCACAATAATATGAAAATGATTTGTAATGTAATTTCAACTTAATAAATTTTCAAATATAACGGCATGCCAAGCACAACCCAATAGACTTACACACACACACACACACACACACACATACATACGTACACACATACAGAGACGCCCACATGCCAAAGTGTTTAAGCACTGCCTAAATAAAGGCAGTCGAAATGCCAGCAGGGTTTGTCTCATTACGGGAGCCGGCGAGTGGCAACTGACAATGAGCCAAAAGATGGCACGGGGTGTGGTTGGGACGGATGCACAGGACAATGTGGACGCCGGTGAGGATATGACGGCGACAGGAACTGAAGTTCTCGCAAAGTAAATTTGCATAAACGTATGAAAAATTTTAATATTTACGACAAATTTGCCGCCACCTTTCCCGGCTGCCTCCCGTCACCTGTTTAGGCCATGCAACTTTTAATGGCTATATGCGTGTGTGTGTGTGTTTGTGTGCGGGAAACTGGCGAAGGGCATAGCTAAAAGTGAAACCAGTACCCAAAAAGAAAAGAAAGAAAAAGGCGTGCCCTGCAGCTATACCTAGAACTGGCAATGAAGCTGAAACCAAAGCTAAGGCCAGATCAGGGAATGGGACTGGAACTGGGACTGAGACTGGGAGTCGAACATGGAGTGTAGAGTAAATTGTGTCAGCACACTGAATGGCCGATGAGCATTGAATAATTTACAATGGCTGCTCTTCGAAGCAATTGCTCAATTTTTGTGTGTATTTTTTTGTGTGCATTTCAAATTGGTTTCTCTGCCAAATTTGCCTATATTTATTTTCAACATTTTGGTTGAGTGCCAATAATCTTTGAAACCAATTGCCAGTTGAAGTTGGCGGTTTTGCTTGTGTCTCGTTCACAATGGACTTTTCTTTCATATCATTTAAATATTTAAATAATAGATACTCGATTTTTATTTATTTATTTTAACATGTAATGTTTCCCAAAGTCATTTCTATTTATTTCATTTATTTCCCTCAAGTTGAGCTTTTCATTTTGAATAATTGATAGTAGTTGGTTCAATATGAAATTATATTTTGTTTCCCGAAATGATTATAATAATAAAATTAAATTAACTTGAACTACAGACCTGATTGTATCGACTCTGCTGATCAAGAATTTATATATACTTCATGGGATCGGAGGTGCTGCATTCTGACTGTTGTTGCGCAAGACAATAATACAATTTTTACTAATTTTCAGGATATACAATAAATCTTTTATAATAATTGGTACGAGGTATCTTCTAGGTAAGCATTCGAGAGTAGTGCACTTTAGCATTTAACATTTAAATGAACAATCCGTCACAACTAATGGATATTGCTCCCTTGGCTGGAGTATTTAAGACACGTAAACAGAGCTCGGGGGTATTGACTTTGTTTATTATCACAGCATTGAATGGTCTTTCAATTGGGTTCTGGAATCGCCCTGTTTTGGTCATTTGACGGCAAACACATCGTTGGCCATTAGCAATTAGCGCTGTCATTTAAATGTTTTTTAAAATGCCAAATACATTTCCCAGTCTTCATATTCAATTGTTTTGGTGCTCTGTTTTATTTGAAATGCGGCATATTTGATTCAAATTCAATTCAAAGTAAATGTTACTTAAGAGCCTCGAACAATACATACTTTGATCAAATGTAGAAAGTTCGTAAGTGAAGACAAAGAGTTGAATGAATTTCAACAAATGATTTTAGTCAACTATCTTTGGTACTATTTCGACCAGGGTATTTTAGGAACGGTGCACTTAATTTCTGTTTGGTTGGTGTACGTTTAATTTGAGATGCGCCCCACAAATGCCAATAATAAAATTTGTGGCAACTTTAGCTGTAATTGCTTTAATGTGTGTTTTCAGTGGCTTTTAATGGTGCTGGCAAATTGCTCTTGGATTGCTTTTTGCCCATTAAATCGCTGTTGCCCACGTGGATAAGCCGCCTAATTGCCCAAATGATATGTTGCAGCAATTGTTCACATCGTAAAGTCTATTCACGCCCATCCACTTATTCCATCAGTACAACAATACGCTCAGACCGCAATATACTCAAGCATCTTCTCGATGCACTTTCATGGAGCTGCAAATCAATCAGTGCCACAGCTTTCAGCATACGATTAAAGTTGCATGTGGCACACAGACATGCTGAATTAACTGCTTAAGGCTTATTTGCAGCATTTAAGTGGACGAGTGCTCATCTGCTGGGTTTACATGGCACATTAATGCAACACGTTTAATGTGGCGCTTCACTGCCAGACAGCTTTTTGTTGATTCCCCGAATTGTAATTAAAACCGTATATTATGCTCTTGTGCTGTTGGATTACACACACACAACAACACGCACACACAACACATAACACACAACACACACAGACGAGTACACTGATGCTCATTTACCTGGCCTCTGCACAGAAGCTAATTAACGCCTGAGAAACTTAATTTCAATTTTAGCAAGCAGCAAAATTAAAGTCGAATGAGCTCGACTACAAAATACCATGAAAACAGCTGTTAAACATTTAATTCTCATTTTAGTGACAAATTTCTCTTTCAAAAAGCTATGCACTCTCAAATGTAAGGGGTGAGGGAAGTGCTCCCATTTCTCATAGCCGGCATATCGATGATCTCGCCTGCTGATAATAATGAGATAATGAGAAATGAATTTAGAGTTGGACATTAATATGTGTAGATATACCAAGTATCAATTGGAATGATCTGCTCTTAGAATTATAGCTACAAAGGTTCAAATTCCTCTCAATACCAATCTGAATCTTCGCGATGTTGACAGTTTTTGCAGTTGCACTTGATGAATTTCTATCAATTATTATGGATTGACCTATGAGTCGAATTTGTACAGAAATTTGTAAGTGTTTCGTAACGTCTGCATAATCTTGTGGCATTTTATGTATTTGGCTCTTCGGGCGTTCATTTTGATGTAGGCCTTTGAATGTTCGCTTATTAATTACTTTTCCCAGCACAAGTTTAAAGAGAAGAAATCGATAAAAGGGCAAAAGGCCAACACTGTGCATAGCACCGGGAAATATCTATATATATATATATTTTATTATAACATCGTTATACAAACATTGAAATTTGTTTCAAGAGATTGAATTAAAATTGACTTTTAATACGGTCGGACTTTATTTGAGAAATAGTTTTGATTTTTCAAAGAAACACTTTTAATGATCCAATCAGACTAATACCAAAACAACACAAAATAATATACTCGAATATGAGTGTATAAATATTATTTGCTTGTTGTGCGCTTATTATAAATATAATATGCGAATACTTTCTACGTAGTTAGTTAATAATAATTGATTATTATTGTCAATACAATTATTTTGTATTTTGTTTAACATATCAAATTTAGTTGTTATTTGCTCTATGTTGAAATGAAAAAAAAGTAAATAAATAAAAAATCACTATCGTCGGAGTCTGAGGTGGGTTATCAGGCGTGGCATCTCCGCGAGACGCCAGACACTAATTTCATTATCATTATCAGCTGGTTGCATCGCAATTGTTATCAATTAGTTCATACGCGAATTCGATGAGAAGCGCAAGTGAAAAATGTGCAAGCTACAATTGTTGCTACTGATGCGGCTGGTGCTGGCAATCCTCGCCAGCGATGGATGGCCCGGTTACTTGCAGCTGCATATGAATGCCAGTGCTGATCCCTGTTTGGATTTCTATGAGCACGCCTGTGGTGGATGGGAGGAGGCGCATGTTACTGACGCTTACAGCAGCCAGTTGGAGCAACTGGATCACGTCTATCACGAACAATTAGCGTCGCTGCTGGAGCAAATAACCGGAGCCCCAAGCGATGGCCAGCCGCGCTTTGTGGAGCTGCTGCGGAGCAGCTATGCCGCCTGTCGCGACCAGCAGGCTGGCTACGATGCGGCACAGTTTGTGCGCTGGCTGCGCGACTTGAGTGGCATAAGCATGACAAGCGAGGACAACGACAACTGGAGTCAAGTAGTCAGTCTGCTGAAAGGCTACGGAGTCGCTGCACTGCAGCAATTTGAAATGGAAATGCAACCGGAATCGAGAAGCGATGCGGAACTGTGGCTGCTCCAGCTGCAACTACCTTGGCCCCACAGTCAGGCAGCGGCAACCAGGAACAACTGTTCGCTATCTCTGCTGACGCGCTCGCGTTTCAGGCAACTCTATCGCGAGCTGCAACCGCTGGGCGTGCCAGAGGGCAAGCTTTGGCAGCAAATCAAACAGCTGGAGAAGCAACTGAGGCTGCTCTGGCTGCTGCTGCATCCCAGTGTTGTGTTGGATGATGCGAGTGGCGTGGAGGTGGATCTAACGCGTTGGCTGTTGCCGCTGCCGGCAACCACCGAATCAGTGGAGTATTTGGGGGAAACATATTTACGTGGCGTCTCCCTGTTGCTAGCCGCACAGCCGCCGTCGCTGGTGGCTCGCTATTTGCAGCTACGTTTGCTGCACCAATTGGAGTTGCAGCCAGTGCCGCCATTGGCATTTGGGCGGCAACAGTGTGCGGCACAATCGCGTCAACTGTTGACGCATGCCGTCGTCTGGCTGATGCAAGAGGCTCAGTTGCCGCAGCTGCAGCGACAGCAAATGCGCCACTCCGTGCAACAGCTTTTCGCCAAACTGCGTCGGCAATTTGAGCTCAAGTTGCTGGCGAATCGCAATCAGTTTGATGCAGCCACGCAGCGCTTTCTGCTTGACAAGCTGCGACGCATGCAGCTGCGTGTGGGCGTGCTGCCGCCCACTGGCACCGCAAATGAGCACCGTTTGCAGCTGGAGACCCACTACGCGGCACTGCAGCTCAACGCCAGCGATTACTATGGCAACTTACGAGCTCTGCTGCAACTAATTGATAATGATAGACAAAAAGTTGCAACTGCTGATTTGTATTTTCTGCAGCCGGATGGCTTTGGCAGCTATGCGTCACCCTTTTTTTTGCCCGGACGCAATGTGGTGTTGTTGCCGCATTCGCTGTTTGGTGGCCACCTGTATTGGCCAGATCAGGCGGCAATTTACAGATATAGCGGCTTGGGTTTCCTGATCGCACACGAGCTGTCGCACGGCTTTGCGCCCAGCGATGTGCACTACGATGGCTGTGGCAATGAGGCGAATGCGCAGCAACAGCAACGCCTGCTGACCAATCGTCATTTTGGCAAAGAGATGCGCTGCCTGCGACGCCGTCATGGCCAAATGGCCGACGAGAAGTTTGCCGACATCAATGGAATCGCGTTGGCCTACGACAGCTATTTTGCTGGACACCCAGCAAGCACAGCCGCCAAGCAACAGCAGCTCTTCTTTCTCAATTTTGCACAGTTCTTTTGCCAGGACGAGCAGCAGCTGGAGGAGGATGTGGAGGATAGCAATCAGCACGGTGACAGTCGGCAGCGCGTCAACGATGCCGTCGCCAGTTCTGAATCCTTTGCACTGGCCTTCAGCTGTGATCGACAGAAGGAAATGAAAAGAAGACGCATCTGTCAGTTGTACTAACTGAAACTGAATGAAGAATGCTTAGAGCCGCAAGTCATTGTCTTAATAAGTTTTGATTGATAATTGATTATTTATTAAATTGTACAATTTACAATGCATTGGTTTCACTTAACAGTTGAGGCCATACTGTTTATTTACTGATGGATTGTTGAACTGATTAACCCAATGCACAAGGACAACATTGCTCGGAGCATTTTAGCCAAATCAAACAAGAGCAGTGCTGATTAATTACATTTCATCCCGACATCAAGTTGCCTGTAGGAGTCTGCGAATATCTATATCCTCTTATGCAAATGGGCTTACATCTCGAATGACATTTTAATTAACCGAAAGCGTTTTAATGAGTGTCTGTTTAACGACAGGACACAAGACATGGACCGGGCGGCAGGCGCTACGGAGTGTGCAACTTTGAACACGTCATTTAAGTATTTAATTTCATTTAAATCTTGACTAAGCCGGCAATGCGAAGCATCGAATCGAAATGGGCATTCAATTGTAATGAGGCAGCCGCACAGCAATTTTCATTTTGCCATTGGCAAGGACAACTCATGCGCTCGCCAACCGGCTTAAAACGTTAACTTATTATTTTTTGTTCTTGTCGCTCTTGCTTCATTTCCTTTTTTTTTGTTGTATTTTTGGGCTTTTTATACCCTAAAACCATTAAAAATGGATAAAAAGAGTATAGTGGAGTTGTAAAAAAGTATCTAGGCAGATGGAAGCATCTCCAACCACATAAGCTGTATGTATTCTTGGCCAGAATCAACAGCCGAGTCGATTTAGCCGTCTCTTTTTGAACGAGCCGATCTCAGAGAATAAATGATATAAGGACTTCAATTTTGGAATAAAGTTTTTCGTATACCATACGTAGATCAAGTTTATTTAATTTTATCGATAACTCTTGATGTTGCTTACTTACTTGACATATGTGTGAGAACTTTGCTACGATTATTACCAACAGATAATTCATTTAAAACACATCGAGCCAAACGACTTGGCAAGCGTTAACAGTTTGTAATTGCAAACTGAAATTTATTCAACGCAAAAAATTACATTTAATCTGTTTTGGCATCGTTCCATTCTACTGACCATACCCCTATTTTAATGGTAATGTTCAACAACTGTACTCAGAAAAATAATCCAACAGAAATTTAGAAATCGTTCTAAAAACCAAAAAAAAAAAAAAAAAATATTGTGACATTTAATTGGCAAGGTGATATTTTTGTAAAGAAATGTTTTAGATTGTTAAGAAATAATTTTTAAAACAGTTTTAATGAAAACCCTTTATTTTTTAGAAAATGTAAACTATTTAAAATTCAGAGGATATATTAAAATATGCTCCCTATATGCTCTTAGACCGTAGCTCAATGCGATGTCTCACAGGTCGATAACTGTAAGTCTATTTAAATTAAATTAAAATGATATTTAAGCTATTTATTTTCAGGAATATACCTTCTGAAAAAGAAGCAATTTTCTAAGCTTCAGGGCGAATTTAGTACATATCGTAGTGCAAATTGTCCAGCTCTGCGCTGATCTGCTTTGCTTTCGGACATATGCGAACAACCGCCACAAAAGGAGCCACATGCTAACTGACAACATAAAGCGGCCTTGAGGGCAAGTCCTTTCAGGGGCAGAACACAGCACTTAGTTCCTCTGCTCGGCAAATCCAAAAGCAGGCAATTACATTACGCATACGTTACGTTGCCGCATAACACATCAGCATGCAGATGAAGCTGTGTGTGTCTGGGTGTGGGTGTGTGTGTGTGTGTGTATGTGTGTGTGTGTGTGTGTGTATGTGTGTGTGTGTGTGTGTGTGTGTGTGGGTTGTTCTTACTGTGTCTGCTTAATCAGACACTTCTGTGTCACCAATATTGATATAATCTTGGGCCTTATGCTTTGAATTTACCTCGTCAGCAGTTAACCTCGATATTTGTGCTTATACTCACAAATACTGTGTGGCCAGCCCCAGTGTCAGCCCCAACACCACTAACACCATCAACTTGCCCAACTTCTCTGTCTCACTCATACTTTCAGGCTTTAAGTGGCTTTGTGGAGGGTGCAGCGATGTAATGCAATATTGCACCACATAGAAATCAACTTGTTTTGCATGTGACCTTTTACTTTTCTTTGAGCTGTGATTAATAGTTATAGTTTTAAGTGGATGGATTAATTAATTTATGGCACTCACTACAACCTTTGATGCTCAGAGTTAAATTGCATTAACGTTGAGCACAACTTTTACTGCGCCCTCATCAAATCATTTACTGTTCATGCAACACCTGCAACCAAAATCCGCATTATTTTTTATACACATTTTCTAGACATAACAATGTAGATGAAGCAGCTTGCTGAAAAAATACGAAAAATACATAACAATAATAATAAAATTATTTTAAAACACTCCCATTTTATGGTATTCATCACTGGCAGCAGAGTATTCTGCAGTCTGTTTGTTGTTGTTGTAGATTTTACATATCTTTGCGATACTCAACTTCAGCGTAGTGGAATAAAATTTGATGTAATTACTGGATACCTGCAAGTTGCTCATCGTCAATTTCTAATGTTCCTGTTTGCTGTCGATTGCCAACAATTGAGACAAGCAAAAATATGTCGAACACCATGGCATGTATTTGGTCAGGTCGACATTAAGGTCTCTCCCCCTTGGTTACTGGCACGCAAATAGCATAAGCAAATGCAGCCAAATACACAGAAATACACAGAAATACACACGTGCACGCAATGGTAGAGGCAAGATAAGTGATAGCAAATTGATGGGCAAGTTCGCATTTTGGCTTTAGCTAGCTGGCAACTTGGAATGCCTCTTATGGAAGGCATCCAGCTGCAGTGGGGTGTATTCATAGCCGCGAAGCGATGTTTGGTGATTTGGTTCATATTAGGGATATGCTTGCACGTACCGAGTTCAACAAATATGTATCTTATAATTACTGCTTGCGAAACTCATTCGGTGTTTGTGTGTGGTGATGCTGTGGATGCTGCTGCCACTGCTGTGGTAATCATGATTTAAGCGCTAAGCTCCTTTACACTTACATTCTCACACTCGCCCAGAAATGGCACCATCCCCTTTCGATTTCTGCCGCCGCAGTGGTTGGCGCTGCTGGTGCTGCTTCAACTTCAATTTCCCCACACACATTGCGTGTATGTGGTACGTGATGTTGAAGTTGAAGTAAATCACATAAGAGTTTTGATCAGGACAGCCGAATAGCGGTTGCCTTTAAGGTCCAGGCCAGGACCAGCGACATGCCGGGGTCAGCTTTAACAAGAGCCACGGCTGCGTTGCGCCCAGCAGCTGCATATTAAATATGCAAGAGAAGAATTTTCAAGTGTTGGACAAAAAAGGGCAAAAAGGCGTTTAAAGTAAATACTTTAAATTCAATTTGTAGCCAACGTACAAACACACTAATTCACACTCGCACACCCACATAAACTTGCATACATTCAATGTGTTGGGGTTAACTGCCTGGGAGGGTAAGTTGCCACGCCGGCAAACAGTTGAAGGCAACGAAATGCCAATAACAAAATACACGCGTTACGACAGCAGCTCCTTGCAGCTCTTTGCGCCCCCCTGCTGAGCCCACCAGCCGCCATATTGAGTAAAAAACGATGAGCCGGGGTGGTGGTGTTGGTGGTGGTGTTGGTGGTGGTGGTGGTGGCACAACTGAAAGGAATAGCAACAAAGCTATTTGCATGCAGCATGGCAAAATCTTTGAAGATACCATGGGCAATAGGCATGGCTTCAAGTCAAAGGGAATCGGCAGAGCAATGAACAAGAAAACAAAAAACGTACGAAAACTCGACTAATTTGTACCTTATAATAAACAGAATACCAAAATTGAATAAGAATAGTTATTAATATTGAGCGAAATGGAAGCGCGACTAATTTGTACCTTATAATAAACAGAATGCGAAAATCGAATAGGAATAGTTATTGTTATTGTTGCGGAGTACTTGCAAATAACAGTCAAAAAGTGTTTCAGCAGAGTGAGTCACTCAAACAGCTAAAAACTGGAGATTTTCAATTTGAATGCTCTGCTGCTGAAACTTGCAACATGTGCCTCAGCATCAGTTGTATTGCAAAGTCGACATAAAACTCAATAGTTACGAGTATCACATAGGACTGCTGTACTGTAATGCTACACTGTGCAACAAAAATCGGTTGATAACATTTTTAATTTCGTCATTAAAATGTAACCATAATCATAGAGTATGCTATATTCGGCGTAGATGAGTTGGTTGTTTTATTTTATTTTTTAGACGCCGCTAGCATCTGCGTTGAGACAACAATGATCTTTACTGAAAATTGTTATTGCTGTTATTGTGGTTGTTATTGTTGTTGTCGTTGTGTGTGTGTGTGCGTGTGTGTGTGTGTGTGGGTCGGTGGTGTTGTCGCTGCTGGTGGTGGTGGTGTTGGTGCTGACTTAATTGCCACGAGTCTGACATACATATATATATATATATATATATATATATATACCTATGTTTGTCTGTGATATTTGGAGCTTTTTATAACTAAGACTCTCGAATTCCAGCAAACAGCCATCTCTCAATATTGCTGCTTGCTTGCTGTGAAAATGGGTCATACTTTATAGTTTAGTTTAATATTGACAGAGTTTTTTTCATAACTTTGGCAAAAAACTTGTGCGGTTTTTGGTTTAAATTCAAAAAGGAACAATTTCTGGCTAAATTAAACGTATAAAAACGATTCCTTGCTGGAGAAATACAAGTTTTATAAAACGTATGCAAAACCAAATTCAAAGTAAAATTCTAATCTCAGCAAGTTGCAATTGTTGAGCAACCTTTGCAGTTGGGTTAAGTAATTAACCAACTAACTTTACTTGGTGAGTGAGAACAAAGATTCAATTTAAAGCAGATATACAACTTCGAATTCGTATCGGCCATAGCCTTAAAGTAAAGAAAATAGAAGTGGTTTCCAATATAATCTAATCCTCTCAATTAATAGCGAATATTAAATGTGTGCATGTCTGCAAGGGTATGTAATCTTCGCTCTGGTTTCGCATAATATTTATGACAATTAAAATTTATTGATTTACTTTACAGCTGTGATGCGTAATGCTGTTGATGCGTGTTTGTCATGCTTTTCAAAAGATGTACTCTTCGTAATCCGTGCGCTGAATCGAATCGATTTTTACAGATGTATCTATAAGCCCAACTTGAACATACCCCTTTGTTTGTGTAGGGTATAAAAAAAAAAAAGGTAGAGCCAAAGGCAAAATGATAACCCTACATATTTGAGTCAAGGGTCTTATTAGTTCTATGCTGAGCTAAGCCAATTCATGCTTTGTGTACAAATATGTGTCTGTACGTGCGTGTGTATCGAGATGATGGCATTTTGCTATTGCCTCGAGTGACTCACAGCTGAGCACGACAATAATAATACAGCCGCATCATCTAGTCGGAAGCGGAAGTGCGTGCAACTATTAATCTAACTGACAAACTCGATGGACTCTTTCCTGCATACAGCATAATAATCTGTACTCTGAGCTGAGCTAACCATCAGAGCTGGTAACCTGGTAACGAGCATGCGATGTGCATATATTGAATGCTCGTGGCGTATGAGCAATATTTACAGGACGCTTCAAGGAGATTTCATGCAAATTGCAATTGATGTCTATCAGCTTTTGTTGGCAGCGACATTCAAAGTGCTTGTCACAACAGTATTTGGACATACACAGCTTATGACAAATAAATCGGTTCTAATGCTTTAGATGCAACCAAAAATTGTCTAACCACATCTTGACAAAAAAAAAAAAAAACAAAATGCACAATTGAACGACTCATCCAATGAGATTGTCGACCACGTTTCAGCGCACAAAAATGCAATTAAAATGCCTAAAAATCCTCTTGTGTTCAATTTAGAATTTTTGGTTTGCATTTTAAAGGCTCTAAACGGTATTGATCTTTGTGCTTGACCACTAAACAACTCGTTGCAAGCATAATATTTGTGTGGCATTTTAAAAGAACCTTTATTATTTATGCAAATTTTGCTTGCATATCAAAAAAAGAAGAAAATATTATTACGATATATCATTAATTATGTTTGCGCATGCAAAAGTGACTCTAAATTGACTTAACTTATTTTTGATATTCACTTCGATTTTAGAGCAATTAGTACCACATTAAAGTTTCATAGAAATTGATTCACTTTTGTATGCATTCAAAAGCGTTTTGTATTGTGAAATATTCTAAGTAAATAGAGAAGAAGAAGAAAATATATTGCCATAGCGTTGCCATGGAAAGTGAAGTTGGGGCATGCCCCACCATTGTATGGATTCGGTTCGTTGGAAAAGTTCTGAAACAGAAAGCAAAGTAAAACAATTGACTAGATACACTTTAGATTGTTACCAAAATAGACTTCAATTGACAAACAGGAAATTAATTTTGCCGAATTTTACAAAGCATTTTTATATCGCAGAGAATGGTGAACGTTTGGCTAATGAAAGTCATTGAACTTGGACTGGCAGTCGTCTGTGAAGTGAAGTGAAGTGAACTTCTAATTGTTCTCCATATGCGAGACACAACTGAAATTGAAACCAACACACAGCTCGAGAATGAGGAGCGATGACAACGGCGATGATGATGATGATGATGACAAAGAATCAATCCAATTGGCTTATATATACTTCTAATCAAATAATGGTTCAATCAATATCATATGCTGGGAGCCAAGGGCATGGCCACAAATAGACAGAGCCAAACTCATAAATAAATCTATGAAACTTATAAGGAAATTGCATTTGTTGATGCGCAGCTGACAAAAAAAAAAGAGCAACTTACATGTGATCTATTGCATGGAACACATATAAAAGTTAATGACTTATGATGTGTTTCCCTGCAAGTCAATGGCCAAAAGTCAAAACAAGAAATTAAATCGAAAGCATAAAAAAAACGAGACATGGCGAAAATCATAAAAGAAATTTTTTATGCACTTTAGCTAAAAAAAGGTACAACGATTATGGTGTACTGCTTGCGAATGAATATTAAAGAAAAAATACATTAAACGTTTTAGTGCAAATGGAATAAGTTGATAAAAAAGCAGACAACTTTATTATGTAGAATGGAAACACTTGAATATTATTCACACATAAAACATTTTAATGCATAAAATTCAAGATAGGTTTCGTGCTAGGGATGTATGCAATATTAGCGAAAGGGCATGGAAGCATTGCTGCTGCAGAAATCAACTTCTACTTTATTGACTAACTGAGCCATTGAGCCAATGAGTGAATGCATACGTTGTAGGAGCTGTTGTGGTAAAGTGTCAGAAACCCACACGTAAAGCAAGGCTTCGCGTCGCCAATCAGCAACAGCTAAGAAGAACCACAATGCAAAAGGCCAGATGTTGAAGCTGCTGCTGCTGCTATTGCTGTTGCTGTTGCTGCCACTGTTGCTGTGGGAGACAAAGCATTTCTAAAAGTAGGAAAAAGTCGGAAAAGTCGGCAGCCAAACCAAGCTGAGCAGCAGCGGCAGCAGCAGCAGCAGCAGCAACAACACAGTCAGCAGGCAGACAGGCAGGTAATCAGTTGGTCGGCAGGGGCCATGTAAACAAGACGAAGCACGCAGGCGCGTGGATAAAACATGCTCGTGTTGATGGGGTGTACGGATAGCCGGATAAAGCTGTGGCGGATAATGTTGGCGCTGGGAACAGCAACGAACGACGCGTCACGATAACGGCAGAAGCAGCACCAGCAGCAGCAACAGCAGCAGCCAAAGTAACAACATCAGAAACAGCAGCAACAGCAGCAGCAGCCGCAGCAGCTGGCACAGCCACAGCAAAAATCGTCGCACAGCGCGAAGCATGGAAAACATTTTCGAATATAACCAAAGAAATTTGTTTGTTTTGATTCAGTCGTTGCGGGTTTTTTAAGGCGAGCAGACAGCCTGAAGCGAACCAAAGCTAACCGATTCGGCATTACCATTAAACAAATAAACTGAAACCAGAACCAAAACTAAAAAACAATCTAAATAAATATTTAAATAATTTGAACATTTGGCTAAAGTGCGAACTCGAAAATTCTTGCCACCCCCCAAATGGACCAGCTCAAAAACTTGCTAAAAATAAATGTTTTTAACGTGTTTATTTATACAAATATATATTTTTTTTAACATTCTTTACATACCGAATTCTAAAAGGATTTTCAATTCAAATAGTTAAAAGAAAATAAACAGTTTTTTTTTTGTTTTTCTTAAGTGCTGAAGTGCAGTGTTCTAACAAATTTTGACGTAATAGCAAATCACAGGTAAATTAATAATACAATATATGAAATGATTAAATGTTGCATGTCCACAAATATTGCTCAGAGGTTTACCATAGTTCTGGCCATTGTTTGGACAACAGCTGATACTCTAAACAATGCCAAGAATTTATTGTTCTCCAGGGCATAGACTAAAGCGTAAATATTACAATAGTCCTTTCTGCGCCAATAAAATCCAACAACAACCCTAAAGCTAATCCGTTCCTTGCATATCTCTTTGATCAAACTTTAACACAAAGGGATTATATTTAATTAATGATATTGTGAGTGTGAATAGACAACTAGTTGTTTCAATTATGAAAAAGGCTTTTGTTATTTTATGGCCAAAACTTGTTGGCCTTTGTTATATATTTGTTGATTTTGAGTCCCTTATAAGCTAATAATAATTAAATGTGAAAAACTTTAAGGGTCCAGAACGTACGAGCTTGCTTTGGAATATTCCGACAAATTTTGCAAGTTGTTTTTTTTTATCATTTAAAATTGAAACCCATCTCCGCCCATTTCAATTGATCAAAATTGTATGTTGCAGCTGGTGTTGCAGCTGTCCGAACAAGTCTCAACTTGTTACGACCCGTGCACAGTTGACAAGGATTCATTTACCATTGCCCATTTGCCACTAAATTCCAGAACTATCAAAAGTCGCATAAAAACAAGTTTGCAACGTGTACGAAGGAAACAATAAAAATTCGGTTACTTTTTGAATTTTGTGTAAAACAGTGAAAACTTATAAGACCAACTTGTCCGACTTTCAATTTAGCTTTATTTTTGTTGAGGGCTACTCTTCATTTTGAGCCCATTAGCTACGGCAGTTGATTGTGCAATGATTTTAAGTAGAGTTTTATATGCAAAATGAATCTAATTTTCATTTTACAAATGAGTCTCATAATGTAATATTTTAATGATAAAAGTAATTTACTTAAATACATGTTAGTAATTATAATGGATTTGCCAACCACTTAAAGTGTACGTCAAGTTTTGGATCAGGCTGACTAGCCAAGTAGATGAATCTAAAGCTTGAAATCCCAAAAATAGCTGATAGCAGATAATAGTTATTAAGTTAATCAAATTAAATGTGTAATCTATAAGTGACTTTTTCAGTAGAGCATTTCAGCTTCGATAAGATAACAATGTTTTTTTTATATATATTTTTTTTGATAATATTTTGTTCTCAGCTTTTTTTTTTTTGCCCCAAATAGACAATTGTAAAACTTTTGAAAGTACATATATCATATGACAGGATGTGGGCCAGTAACTATGACTTTAGAGTAGTTTTTTTAATATTTATTTTGAAAAAGAACCTAGTTTTCCGTCGCTCACCCAAATCGATTTTCGTGGCAAGTGGCATGTGAACTGAAAACTTACTAAAACTATTTGGAATGCATTTTAACAAAGTGCTGTACGAGCAATTCAAGAATAGTTATAAGTCGGTTGCAACGATGCTTTAAAAAAAAAGGACAAATACTTGATTGCTGAAGTTAGGAATCTTATAGAATTCAATTCAAAGCCGAACTGAACTGAGCTGAACTGAACCAAATTGGAGTCCATACAACTTGAGTACCACACGTGCCGTACATATAAATCAATATGGTCATTAACATTAATGAACCAATTGGCATTAAACTGCTTTGCCAGAAGCTTTGGCAGCAATTCTCAACCGGCCAAAAAGTTAGTCACATTACAGCCAAAGTCGCAAATAGCATTATGTGTGTCACAATATAATTACCCTGTAAAATTAAAAAAAAATTACTGGAGAGATAGAGACAGAGAGAGAGAGAGAGAGATAGATAGAGGCAGACAGTGGGAAAGATCGAGAGAAAGTGTTTGTGTGTGAGAGAGAAAGAGGCATGTATCTACAGGAAAGGAGGAAAAAGTATTTTAAGCTGCTCTTTCCGCCTATATATCTTATTTTTATTTTTTTCTTTGAAAGGCAAAGTCTCTTGTATTTAATAATTAACATATTAGCAATTAATTACAGCAATCAAGGAAAAAATGCCTGTAAAAGATATTTTGTTTATTTTTGACCTGCGGCCACACCACAGAGTACAAAGCAAAAAAACAACACAAAAGTCAAAACAAAAAAAAAAATATATAAATGAAATAAAAGAAACGTTTGGCCAACATTTTTTCAAGTTTATTGCAAAAATGTAGCAAAAAGTTGCAGAGCAAAAAAAAAAAATAATAATAAAAAGAAGGAGCGAAATAGCCGCAATACCAAGCTGTGCCAAAAGGAACCCGTAATCATAACCATAACCATAGGTACAAAACCAACGGAACCCTTTTGGACGAGCTGGGTGACCCTGTCTTCCTGAACCCCTTAGTTGAGGGGGATCTTGGGGAAGGGCAGGCGCTATGCACGCAATTTTGAAAGAAAAACATTAAGAAGAAATAACTCTGCACTCTCTCGACGTCCCTCTCGACAAGCGCGTCATAACTTTGTTGCTTGGTTGCGTTCAGTTGGCTTATTTGCTCTTAACCATTTGTATTCTTTTTTGCACTCACCCACTCAGAGTCTACAAAGGAGCCACATCTGAGCCTCAATGTATGGGCTCTACCCTTGTCGAGGATGCCATAATTATGTCGGGAAGTGTATAACTCATTAAAGAAGATGTTCGAAAACTCATTAAGCATATATATTCATGATCAGCATCAGGTGCTGAGTCGATATGACTATGTCCGTATTTTCCTTAGTTTCCATGCGAACTGGTCTCTCAGATACCATTGCCTCAGTACATGTGTGTCAGTATTGGCCGAATTCTATTACTATATCATATTACTGCAACATGAAATTATTAATTGAGGATGAGTTGTTGTTTGCAAAAGCCCAATCGTAACTCATGGAGTTTTGGAGTTTGGTTTTGGACTTTAAGCGAAACAGAAATATGTCTGTATGTTGATAAATGTCTACTGTTTAATGCCACAAACATTTTGGCAAAAACTACTATATCAACAATTCATGACGGTTCACATTATGAAGTATATAATGATGCAAGGGTATCAAATCTTCGGCTCTCTGTCACGCTGGGTTGTTTTGTTTCCTTTTTTTCGTTTTTTTTTTTTGTTGGGTGTCGGCTCTCTGGTGGGTTGCGTTTAATGGCACCTGTGGCTGCAGGCTGCTGGTTGCTAATCATGATTTTAATGACCTTTCGGCAGCGGCTGGCTCAGTGAGCCAGCTAACCCGTTCTGGCCACAAGACTGATTTCGTGTTCACGAATTTACGAGTGGGTCGCTGAAAGGTTTATCAAACAGTGCTCTTTCTGACCACAGGTTGCAATTAATTTTTTAAATGCTTTACAACTTGGCAAACTTGTTGTTGTTATAGCGGTCGCTTGTACAAAGAAATTATAATTTAACCAGTAGCTGGAAGCTGTTGGTAACGTGGCGTTGATTGAGTACTAAGCACATATTTAATTTGACTCGTTTCTTTTGTTAACATTAAAAAAGAAATTGCTTCAAAACTTTTTAGAATTTTTATAAATAAAATATACAGAATAGTCACCTTAAATTATATCTAACTTAAAGGAACTTTGCAAGCGACATTTTTGTATTTAATATATAACAAAATGTTAAGCATTATAAATATAAATATATATATAAGTATTTTATTAATAGTATGGACGACCTTCAATATCAAAGTATAAGAATGCATCGATGAATATTATTAATTGCTTAGCATATGGATAGCAAAGAGAAGTGGGAGATTTGCTAAATGGGCCAATGCCTATCATATGACAAAGTTCATATTGAGATTGTTAAACATTGGATTCCTTTCTGGGAAAGTTCCGCTGGCGCTGCTGCTGCGGCCGACCTTGGGTAATATAATAGGCCCAAATTCGACACCACAACAAACAGACAAAATATATTTCATTTCAATAATTTCATTTTGGATGGCTGATGGCCAGTGATTGGCCAGTTTCGATTCGGTTTCAGTTGCAGAAGCGAGCTCATGGGCTCTGTCAACATTGGCACAACACTCTGTTTACTCGCTCACAAAAATGGGAGGATGAAAAAAAGGAAAAACATTCACATAAGAACACACACGCACATGCAAAAGCAGAAAGAAATATGTTAAATCGACAACATATTGAATTTAGATTTAGTGTCGCCGCGGAGCACAATGAACCAGTGGTTTGGTTTGGTGGTCGGTTAGAGTTGTTCGTCTAGGGGAATATGTAAACACAGGGCGCAGGCTGCACAGGAAGCTGGCTGAATAAATTGTGATGCCGCAAGTTCATTGACGTCTCCGCCAAAAATGAAAAGATAACAAATGAGAGACGCACATCACACTATGCGATTCCACAGCATGGTATAGCTGTGGCATGTTCCGGACTCAGGATGCCAACTTATGTAAATGTATTCAGTTGGTGTGAGGCAATTACGGGGCACAACAATAATCACAGGGCATCAAAAGCGGCAGATGCAGCGCGCTAATGTGTCCAGGGAGCGTGAGCCAATAATGAAAAGAAAGCAGCTAGCAAAGAAAAAAGCGAGGCAGTTTCATTCTCCTTTCTTTGATGCCCCAAGAAACGAGCCGCAACAGCATGCGCCAAGCTGCCAAACAACAATGTGCGGCAAACCAAACGGCAGCCGTTGAAATGTTGTGCAAACAATGAAAATGGATTCCAGCATTGCCAGTCATTCTTTAGCTGCTTCTTCTCCTCCACTGTACATGCTCCTAATTTAGCTGCTGCTCCTAGCTGGCAGATGCCTGTGGTCTGTTCATGCAACAGGTTATCTGATGCCGCTGTCACTTGCCCCCATTCATCAGATGCCTACGACCCACAGCGACTGTGTTTGGTCTCAACACACACACACACACACACCCACTAACCAAAAAGGAAAAAAAGAGAAGAAAAAACTTGGCATTGTGGCAACTCTATGGTAGAAGTTGAGCGAAGACATACTATAAGTACTCACATTTCGGCAGAAATTGTTGGCTCAAAGCCTGGATAAATATTCGTGCAATTTGAGAAATCTGGCTGAAGTTT